ATGTAATATTCTAAATTTAAGAATATTACATACTGAATTTAAGTATAAAATATGTGTAATGTATATTTAGTATATATAGAATATAGTACTTATAGTATATAGTAGTTATAGTACATAGTACCTTTAGTATATTTAGTATATATAGTATTTATAGTATATAGTACTTTTAGAATGTAGTACTTATAGTATATTGTACCTTCAATTTTTTGTATACGTAGTACTTTTAGTACATAGTTCCTTTACTATTTGGTATATAGTAGTTATAGTAAGTGCTACTTAAAGTATATAGTACTTATAGTATATAGTACTTATAGTACATATTACCTTTCGTACATTGTACTTAAAGTATATAGTACTATTAGTGCATAGTACTTATAGTACCTACAGTACTTATAATACCTATAGTACTTATAGTCCCTTCACTACTTATAGTACCTACAATACTTATAGTACCTACAGTACTTATAGTACTTATAGTAATTATATCTATAGTACTTATAGTACCTACAGTACTTATAGTATCTACAGTAATTTTAGTACCTATAGTGCTTATAGTACCTACATTACTTATAGTACCTATAGTACTTATAATATATATATAGAACTTATAGTACCTACACTACTTATAGTACCTGCAGTACTTATAGTACTTATAGTACTTATAGTAATTATAGTAATTATACCTATAGTACTTATAATATACCTATAGAACTTATAGTACCTACAGTACTTATAGTACTTATAGTAATTATACCTATAGTACTTATAGTACCTACAGTACTTATAGTACCTATAGTGCTTATAATACCTATAGTGCTTATAGTACCTAAACTACGTATAGTACCTAAACTACTTATAGTACCTACAGTACTTACAGTACCTATAGTGCTTATAATACCTATAGTGCTTATAGTACCTAAACTACTTGTAGTACTTATAGTACCTATATTACTTATTGTACATATAGTACTTATAGTACTTATAGTATATAGCACTTATAGTACTTATCGTACTTATAGTATATAGTACTTATAGTACTTACAGTACTTATAGTATATAGTACTTATAGTACTTATAGTACTTATAGTACTTATAGTACTTATAGTATATAACACTTTTAGTACCAAATACTTTTAGTACACATGCAGTATATAGTATATTGACTATATATTATACTAGTATAAACCCTATATTAGATATTTTTTCGCATAATTTTGTTTCTTTAAAAAACCATTCTACCGCACATCCCTAATAATAATCCGCCAATAGCATACAAGAATATTTTTTTTTTCAAATTGGAAAAATCCCCATACTAATTTCAAAAAAAAAATACCATATAATCGCAATATTTTAATGATTACAGGAATAGGGAAAACTATAAATATATATAATATGCACCGTTAAGGGTATTTATAAGAAGTTTTTGAATACAAAATGCACTCACTTATCCTTATTATTATTATTATTATACTTTTAGAGACCCTTATATAGTTAAAGAATTCCAAACTAAAATCTCAAATTTCGCCTTCATCGTTAGGCAAATAGTAAAATTCCTCACGGTTTTATATATATATATATATACACTATATTCTACAGTCCAGTTCCTCGTCTCATTGTGCGTTCCTTTCTTCCGATTTATGTCTCATTGTCTGATCAAAAACCGACAAAGACTGACGCATCAAAAAAAAAAAAAAAAAAAGTTGCAAGGAAAACCAGCGAGACAAAAGGATTAGGGAAAGCAAAGGAGAGAGAGAGAGAGAGAGAGAGAGAGAGAGAGAGAGAGAGCAGAATGAGATTTAAGGTGAATGAAAGTGGAAAGAGGAAAAAAGAAAAAAAAATTGAGGGTGGTAAAGGGGGGGGGGGGTGGCAAGTGGAAAAGACGAATAGAGCACTTGAGCAATTTAAAGAAACACAAATCGAGGTTTAACAGTCGGCAAAAATGAGAAAAAAGAGAGAGAAAAAAAAATGTTTAAAAAGAGAGAAAAAAGAAAGAGTAAGAAAGAGAAAGAAGCAGAATTTTAGGAGGGAAACTTGTGTATGCCTTTTTCTTAGAATTGTTTGTGCGGCAACTGCTGGGCGAGATGTACCTGAAACGGGACCGCTTCTACAAATTGCAAGAGCCAAAAGCTTAAACTTTATAACGAACCGGGGGTCTCCTTTTCGAGGGTCGCGCGTGTAATGAAGGTATAGTTGTCGAGTTAAAAGGCTAAGAGGTAGCGCAGTAGTAAGCCAGCTCATCTCTATGGACCAAACAAAAAAAACCTTGCAAAAAAAAAAAAAAAAAAAAATTCCCGAAAAACGATACAAAATATTGCCGTAAAAAATTAATTTTCTTTATAAAAAATATTTTACTACATAGAATTTTCATTTAACCGCAAATTTTTATTTATTCGAATTATTATTATTATAATATTTTTTTTTTTTTTGCAGAATTTTCCAATTTAAAGGCGAATAAATATAAATTTAGAAAAAAATAGTGCAGAATTGATATGGAATGATCCTAAGAAACAAAAACAGTTATAACTACAAATTTTTGGGGGAAAAGGGTAAAATTTTTATGAAATAAGAAGGCAAGTTCAAAGTAGGGTTTAAGAAGGTACAAAATATGCTCAAAAGTAGGGTTTAAGAAGGTACAAAGTTGGCTCAAACTAGGGATTAAAAAGGTAGAAAGTTGACTCAAATTAGGCTCAAAGTAGTCTTTAAGAAGGTACAAACTAGGCTCAAAGTAGGGTTTTGGGAAGGTACAAAGTAGGCTCAAACTATGCCCTAAGTAGCTATAAACTAGGCTCAAACTAGGGTTTTGGGAAGGTCCAAAGTTGGCTCAAACTAGGGATTAAAAAGGTACAAAGTTGACTCAAATTAGGCTCAAAGTAGAAACTAAGCAGGTACAAACTAGGCTCAAACTAGGGTTTGAGAAGGTACAAAGTAGGCTCAAACTATGCCCTAAGTAGGTATAAACTAGGCTCAAACTAGGATTTTGGGAAGGTACAAAGTAGGCTCAAACTATGCCCTAAGTAGGTATAAACTAGGCTCAAACTAGGATTTTGGGAAGGTACAAAGTAGGCTCAAACTAGGGTTTGAGAAGGTACAAAGTAGGCTCAAACTAGGGTTTAAAAAGGTACAAAGTAGACTCAAACTAGGGTTTAAAAAGGTACAAAGTAGGCATGAAACTAGGGTTTGAAAAGGTACAAAGTAGGCTCAAACTAGAATTTATATTTGTTCGAATTATTTAAATTATTATTCAATTATTTTAATCAAATTTGTTTTTTGTTAAAAACGATCAATAAAATCACCGGATTATCCACTTTTTGATTCCTGGTTTTGTTATCGTGCAAAAAGTCAGATAAAATATATAATTAAGGTTAAAAAAAATAGAGAACATATATAAATTGTCATATATAAGAGAAAACATTTCTATAATTTTCTATTAGGGGAAAAAAAAGAAAAAGAAAAATTGTTCGCGCCCATATAACTAGTTTCTATAATCGAAAATTGATTATAACATGTGTATAATTAAGGATATATTATAGTTGAATATATATGTATAATCTTAACAGGGGATCATATATATAATTTTTAAGTTTGTATTTATCATAGTTATAATGATTTAAATACAATTTCCGTTCTCGTATATATAATAGTGGCATAATTTTTAAATTTATCTAATCTTTCCAAATTCGTTATATTATATTTCTTGCTGATAATACATTATAATATCTGAGATATAATTTTAATTTAAAAAAATGCATTTAATGTGTTGGAAAATAGTTTTTGATTTGAAAAATAGGTTCTAAGGAGGTACAATGTATGCTCAAATTAAGCTCAAAGTAGCGACTAATCAGGTACAAACTAGGCTCAAAGTAGGGTCTGACTAGTTTTAAACTAGGCTCAAAATAGGCTTTAATCAGGTACAAATTAGGCTTCAACTAGTGTTTAAAAAGGTACAAAGTAGGCTCAAACTAGGGATTAAGAAGGTACAAAGTAGGCTCAAACTAGGGATTAAGAAGGTACAAAGTAGGCTCAAACTTGGGATTAAGAAGGTACAAAGTAACCTCAAACTAGGGGTAAAGAAGGTACAAAGTAGGCTTGAACTAGGAATTAAAAGGGACAAAATTGACGCAAATTAGGCTCAAAGTAGAGACTAACCAGGCACAAACTAGGCTCAAAGTAGGGTTAGAGAAGGTAAAAAGTTGGCTCAAACTAGGGGTAAAGAAGGTACAAAGTAGGCTCAAACTAGGAATTAAGAAGGTACAAAATTGACGCAAATTAGGCTCAAAGTAGCGACTAATCAGGTACAAACTAGGCTCAAAGTAGGGTCTGACTAGTTTTAAACTAGGCTCAAAATAGGCTTTAATCAGGTACAAATTAGGCTTCAACTAGTGTTTAAAAAGGTACAAAGTAGGCTCAAACTAGGGCTAAAGAAGGTACAAAGTAGGCTCAAACTAGGAATTAAGAAGGTACAAAATTGACGCAAATTAGGCTCAAAGTAGAGACTAATCAGGTACAAACTAGGCTCAAAGTAGGGTCTGACTAGTTTTAAACTAGGCTCAAAATAGGCTTTAATCAGGTACAAATTAGGCTTCAACTAGTGTTTAAAAAGGTACAAAGTAGGCTCAAACTAGGGCTAAAGAAGGTACAAAGTAGGCTCAAATTAGGAATTAAGAAGGTACAAAATTGACGCAAATTAGGCTCAACGTAGAGACTAAGCAGGTACAAACTAGGCTCAAAGTAGGGTTAGAAAAGGTAAAAATTTGGCTCAAACTAGGGTTAAAGAAGGTACAAAGTAGGCTCAAACTAGAGTTTAAGAAGGTACAAAGTAGGCTCAAAATAGGGACTAAACAGGTACAAACTAGGCTCAAAGTAGTGCCTTAACAGGTAGAAATAGGCTCAAAATTAAGTTTGAACGTAGAGTAAAATTATAGGGTCGAAGCATATATATATATATGTTAAAAATCAAGAACCGATTAAATATTCCATATCGATAAATAAATAAAACTTACTTGTCTTAAATCCAATATAATTGTGATAAATTCAAAACGTTCGCCCTTGTGTAGTGATGGACTTTGCCACCATCTTCCTGGATTTGAATCTAAAACATGAGTGATATTGTGCCGTTTTCCAGGATCGGGACTACGGGAATCACAAACGGCGCATCGCAAAAATTCCGTTGGCTTGCAAAATGTTTCTGGTCCATCATCGCCACATGTTGCATTCACGTAAATATCGGCTTTCGCTGCCACATTGAATGTCGATGGAAAGAGTCCACCATTTTTTAGACTCATACTGACTCCAAATTGTCCTGCAAAAAAAAAAAAGAAACAAATTTTTTTTTTTAAATTATTTTTTTTCTAATTAAAATATTTCAATTCCAATACAATTATTATTATTATTATTATTATTATTATTATTATTATTATTATTATTATTACATGAGAAAAAAAGATTTACCTGAAACAGCGAAAGGTTTCACTAAAATAGCGAAAGATTTAAATGATACAAGTAAAACTTTTGATACTATACAGTGATTTAAGAAGGTACAATGTAAACTAGAAGTAGGGTTATGAAAGGTAGGAAATAGGCTTAAAATAGGGTTATGAAAGGTACAAAGTAGGCTCAAACTAGGCTCAAGGTAGGGTCTAAGTAGGTACAAACTAGGCTCAAACTAGGGTCTAAGTAGGTACAAACTGGGCTCAAAGTAGGGGTTAAAATGTACAAACTAGGCTCAAAATAGGGTCTAAGTAGGTACAAACTGGGCTCAAAATAGGGTTATGAAAGGTACAAAGTAGGCTCAAAGTATGGTTATGAAAGGTACAAAGTAGGCTCAAAGTAGGGTTATGAAAGGTACAAAGTAGGCTTAAAGTAGGGTTATGAAAGGTACAAAGTAGGCTCAAACTAGGCTCAAACTAGGCTCAAACTAGGGTCTAAGTAGGCTCAAACTAGGCTCAAAGTAGGGTCTAAGTAGGTACAAACTGGGCACAAGTAGGGGTTAAAATTTACAAACTTGGCTCAAAGTAGGGTTATGAAATGTACAAAGTAGGCTCAAACTAGGCTCAAGGTAGGGTCTAAGTAGGTACAAACTAGGCTCAAACTAGGGTCTAAGTAGGTACAAACTGGGCTCAAAGTAGGGGTTAAAATGTACAAACTAGGCTCAAAATAGGGTCTAAGTAGGTACAAACTGGGCTCAAAATAGGGTTATGAAAGGTACAAAGTAGGCTCAAAGTATGGTTATGAAAGGTACAAAGTAGGCTCAAAGTAGGGTTATGAAAGGTACAAAGTAGGCTCAAAGTAGGGTTATGAAAGGTACAAAGTAGGCTCAAACTAGGCTCAAACTAGGGTCTAAGTAGGCTCAAACTAGGCTCAAAGTAGGGTCTAAGTAGGTACAAACTGGGCACAAGTAGGGGTTAAAATTTACAAACTTGGCTCAAAGTAAGGTTATGAAAGGTACAAAGTAGGCTCAAACTAGCCCTAAAATAGGGTCTAAGTAGGCTCAAACTAGTCTCAAAGTAGAAACTAAGCTGGTACAAAATAGGTTTAATGTAGGGACGAAGCAGGTGCAAACTAGGCTCAAATTAGAATTTCAGAATGTACAAAGTAGGCTAAAAATAGGTTTAGGAAGGTGCAAGGTAGGCTCCAAGAAGGTAAAACTTATTATTACTATTATTATTATTATTATTATTATTATTATTATTATTATTATTATTATTATTGTTATTATTATTATTATTACAATTATATTTACCAGTATAAATATATTACTATTATTACTATTATTTTAATATTATAATCATTATTATTTTATAGTATTACTATATTATCATTATTATATTTTGATTTGGGGTCGATTGCAGGGGTCATTTTACTTTAAATTCTCGTTTATTTAAGATATATAACCAATGTGCGGGGAATTTATTGTGGTTTTTTTTTTTTGACAGCGTCGACGCCAATAAGGTGCAGTCATATATGTCACGATGTAACAGAGGGGGCCTATATCTGTGCGCAAAGAATTGCAACCGGTCAGATTTACCACACGATCATTTGGAACAGGTCGGGAACAGGTTCATGGCACACATATATATATATACCCACTCTTTGGAATATATATACCGCATCACGACAGAAAATATTCGGAAAGGTTTGTTAAAAAAAAAAAAAAAAAAAGATTTTTTTTTTTGCAACATTCGGCACTCTTTGAAATCGAGTGAAAGTGACTTACGATCATTAAATATATATATATATATATCGCATGCGTGAATAAAAAAACAGAATGAAAAAATTAATTACAACCGATAGGCGCCAAGTTGTTTTTTGATTCATATAAGAGCCAAAATTTTTATTAATTATTTATGATTTTTTATTTATTTAAAAATTTGAATTATTATATGTATAATAGAAGGGCAAAGCCTTTCTAAATCTTGAATTTTTTTTTTAAGGTTATATTCGTATTTTAATTGATATAATTGTCATATTGATTTGCGGCTATATATTCACGTCATTCAAACTTTTAGAATCAACAGCGGCTTGTGGCTATATTCACGATTTTTTAATTTTTGAGGTTATGTTCGTTTTAAATGATGTTTTTAGACATTTAACCTTTGAACTTTAAGATTGTATTCGTCTTTAACCGATGTCTTTGACTGTATATAATTTTGATTTTTAAGGTTATGTTTCCTTTTATCTATACGTTTTTGGCTTATAACCTTTGAATTTTGAGGTTATGTTCATTTTTATCAGTTTTTCACTTATAACCTCTGATTTTTGAGATTATGTTCTTTTTTACCTATGTTTTTGCCTTATGGCTTTTAATTTTTGAGGTTATGTTCGTTTTTATCAGTTTTTTGACCTAAAACCTTTGATTTTTAAGGTTATGTTCTTTTTTACCTATGTTTTTGGCTTATGACCTTTAATTTTTGAGGTTACGTTCGTTTTTATCAGTTTTTTGACCTAAAACCTTTGATTTTTAAGGTTATGTTCATCTTTAACACATGTTTTTCACATATATTTAGTTTAATCTTGAAGAGTGCAAATGAAAAGAGTCATAAAAACAAAACAATACTTTTTGCGCGTGGTGAATATGAGTTGTCAAAAGTTTATGCAAAAAGTCACGTTCTTAAGATATGAAGACATATATATATATATATATATAGAGAGAGAGAGAGGTTAAAGGGAGAAAAAAAATGTACTACAAACAAGACAGAAATGAAAAAAAAATATACGTTTTAACGAGAAACGGAGAAATTCAGCCCCATTAGTTTACCTCGGTTAAATCTCTATACCAAGAGAGAGAGAGAGAGAGAGAGAGAGAGAGAGAGGGGGGGGGAGAGAGAGAGAGTAAGAGAGAAAGAGAGTACTACTCCCTCCGGCTCCTATTTCAGGAGCCAGTGAGAAACCCCTGCAAAACAAGTCATACCCAACTTTTGAAACCAGACAAAATGACCTTTAATTAGAGAGAAAAACACATCAATCATATAGGATCTTAAAAATACCACAATTTTAGCATATTTGAAATCTATTTTTTAGCTACGAAATCTGCTACATAAAAAAACTTTAATAAAACATCTAAAATGTCCCAAAAAAATGATTATAATTATTATATACTTTTTGTATTAATAATAATTAATTATCTGTTTGTATTTTCTTGTATGTTTTATTTTTATAGTTTTGTATATAGTTTGTCTCTACATTAAAACTAATTTAAAAGCCTATTTTGTACTTTAGATTTTACTTTGAGCCATATATTGCACCTAATAAGATCCTAGTTTGCACCTAGTTCATACCAGCTTCAAACCCTCCTTTCACCCTATTTTGACCCTAGATTGAAACTAGTTTTATCCTAGTTTGTACCTGCTTAGAGCCAACATTGAGCCTACTTTGTACCTTCTTAGACCCTATATTCAGCCTATTTTGAACCTAGATTTAAACTAGTTTAATCCTAGTTTGTACCTACTTAGACGCTACTTTAAGCCTACTTTGTGCCTACTTAGAGCCTACTTTGACGCTAGATTGAAACTGGCTATAGTTTTAGCCTAGTTTGTACCTACTTAGATCCTAGTTTCAGTCTAGTTTGTACCTGCTTAAACCCTACTTCGTATTAATAATAATTATATTTTTTTGTACTTTTCTCTTGTTTATGCTTTATTTGTAATTTATTTCATATTTATTATAACAAATTTCTATATATAGGTATATATAATTTAGGAGAAATTATATACCATTTCACTTGATATTGGCTAAACGCTCTCATAAAAGGCGCAAGTTTTAAGTGTATATCTTATATATATGCGTATTCATATGCAAATGACGTATCAGTTTCTTTAAAAAAAAAAAAAAAAAAAAAAAAAAAAAAATGAAAACCAAGCTTTTGCTCCTATTGAGAATATATATGTTGCCTGCAACAAAAAAATATAAAAAAAAAAACAAACTAAATAGCTCACGCGACATTGGTGATTCGTTTACGTGCATTTATGTGCATTTGTTGCACACGCGACACAGCACGGCATGAATGCAAATTTCTACCCACTGAATTTATATGTATATATCTATATATATATATATATATCTGTTATGTTTTACTCCAAGACAATGGCACTTATATACTTGTTGTATCTCACTTCCCCCTGTCATGTTCCACCTTATTTTATGTTTAAATTACTTTTTTTCACTAAAAAAATTTTTCTTTTTTTTTTTAAATTTTCTTCCTCAATTCTAAATTTTACTAAAATAGTATATTAATAGTATAATATTTCACTAATTTTTTTTTATTATTCTACTGCTATTACTAATACTACTACTAGTACTATTATTATTACTACACTGTATAAAGAAGGTACTAAAATAGTACCGATTTTAGGTATTAAAATAAAACCAAAAGGCAATTTAGTACCTAAAGTTGGTACTAAATTAATACCTTTCGTTTTACAGTGTACTACTTCTAATAATAATACTAATAATAATAATAATAATAATAATAATAATAATAATAATAATAATAATAATAATAACAATACCTATTTTAATATTAAACTGAACATAACCTTAAAATTGACGGTTCTATATTTACAAGATTTAAGGTCATAGGTCAAACATAACCTAAAAAATTTTAAGACTATTATGTTCGACAAATATAACTTTAAATTTCCCTAAGCAAGAAACGAATATAACCTCAAAATTTAGATATATAAAATTTTAATAATTGCATTTAAGGTTAAAAGTAAATAAAGAGATTTAAGAAAAAGATAACAAATTCAATATTCTGTGAACATGAATGAAAGTATAATTATATGAATCATTTTTAAAAATGAA